ACCTTCAGTGTGATGGTATTTGGAGGTGGGGCCTATTGTAGATAATCAGGCCATGAGGGCAGAGCCCTTATGAATGGGATTAGTGTCTATAAAGGAGCACCCAGAGAGCTCACACTTCTCACCATCTGAGGACAGTAAGAAGATGACTATCTGTCCTGGCAGGTGTGGCTCAGTTGGCTGAGCATTGTCCCACACCAAAAGGTCAGTGCTCAGGGCACATGCCCAGGTTGTGGGCTCGATCCCAGTAGGGAGTGTGCAGGAGGCAGCTGACCAATGATTCTCTCTCATCATTGATTTTTCTATCTCTTCCTCTCTCTATCTCCCTTCCTCTCTGAAATCAATAAAAAAAAAAGTTTTTAGAAAAAACTTTGAGCCGAGACTGGTTTGGCTCAATGGATAGAGCGTCGGCTTGGGGACTGAAGGGTCCCGGGTTTGATTCCGGTCAAGGGCATGTACCTCGGTTGCGGGCACATCCCCAGTAGGGGGTGTGCAAGAGGCAGCTGATCGATGACTCTCTCTCATCGATGTTTCTAACTATCTCTCTCCCTTCCTCTCTGTACAAAATCAATAAAAATATATTTTTTAAAAAAAGAAGAAAAAACTTTGATATTTAAAAACATGATGAACCTCAAAAACATGAAAAAGACAGACACAAAAGAGTACACATCTCAAAGTTCCCTTATTTTTTATTTTTTTAAATATATTTTATTGATTTTTTTTTTTTACAGGAGGAAGAGAGAGAAATAGAGAATTAGAAACATTGATGAGAGAGAGTCGTCAATCAGCTGTCTCTTGTACGCTCCTACTGGGGATGTGCCCGCAACCAAGGTACATGCCCTTGACTGGAATCGAACCCGGGGGCCCTTCAGTCCACAGGCTCTATCCACTGAGCCAAACCGGTTTCGACCCAAAGGTCCCTTATTTTAAGGTCTAAAACAGGCAAACTAAAATATGAGGAGGGAAATCAGATCTGTAGTTGCCTGTTGGGTGATGTGTATGGGACAGGAGGGGACTTTCTTGGTAGTGGAAATGAGCACTTTACTATATTTAAGTTACATATCAAAAGCTGGGGGCAGGAGACAAAAAGCCGTCTTTAATAAACTTTGCTTGCAATCACACACACACACACACAGTCAAATGCATAGAGATTGAAAATTGGGTAAAGTACTACCTGACAATCTAAAGTGATTTGAGGACAAATGTTCCTAAAACCTTGGAAAGCTTTAATTCTGAGAGGGAAGTGCCCCAGTTGGCCAAATTACACTTTCCAATCCCTTTATGTAAATGGAGCATCGGCCTGCGGACTGAAAGGTCCCAGGTTCAATTCCAGTCATGGGAGTGTACCTTGGTTGTGGGCACATCCCAAGTAGGGGGTGTGCAGGAGGCAGCTAGTCGATGTTTCTATCACTTTCCCTTCCTCTCTATAAAAAAAAAAAAAAAATCAATAATATATTTTTTAAAAATCTCTTTAAAAAAGAAAAAGATTATGGGTTATGTTAACGTAAAAAACAATAACATTGAAACCTGTAAAGGAATTTTGTGAGTTTGAGCCAAACTGTGGACATATGCCGGGAAGCAGAACCTCAATGAATTGAGATAACGGCGGGTTACACCTGTATTTATACATTGCAATCAAAGGAGGGACATAGGTGGGTTACATGAAATTTATTGGTGATGGATTAAGGAGGTGGGATACAGCAAAGCGGAAGGAAACACATGGAATTGGATAAAAAGTGAAATGATGGACAGATACTTAGGTGGGTGTAGGAACAATTAACATGATAATGAAGGAATCTGTGTTATCTGTGCTGGTGCCTACCACATTAGGTTGTGGCCCCGGGGCTCAAAAAAAGGGGGGGGGTTACAAGACATCTCACAGATATGTTATCTTAGAGGGGGGAAAAAAAGGCCAATGGGCTCAGGAAAGGTCTAAGTTGATCTTTGTCAGGGAAAATATTGGCCTAGGACATGACTGTCCACTATAATCTGTTTGTAGTTAAATGTTTAATCTTCAGACCGTCTTTTGTGGTTATTTTAGGTCTCTGAGTTTGCAAGACTGCCACACAGGCCTCTCCTGAGCTTGTCAGGTTAGCATGCGGCTCCTTTCGTCCACAGTTAAAAATTCAGCACTTAAGCCGAAACCGGTTTGGCTCAGTGGATGGAGTATCGGCCTGCGGACTGAAGGGTCAAGGGCATGTACCTTGGTTGCGGGCACATCCCCGGTGGGGGATGTGCAGGAGGCATCTGATCGATGATTCTCTCTCATCAATGTTTCTAGCTCTCTATCCCTCTCTCTTCCTCTCTGTGAAAAATCAATAAAATATATATATTTTTAAAAAATTCAGCACTTAAAATTTAAAAAAAAATTATTTCAGAGATGAAGAGAGAGAGAGAAACATCAATGATGAGAGAGAATCATTGATGGCTGCCTGCTGCATGTCCCCCCCTGGGGATCGAGCTCACAAAACCTGACTGGAATCAGTGACCTCTTGGTTCATAGGTTGATGCTCAACCACGCCAGCTAGACAAAAATTCAGCACTTTTATCTTTTGTGCCTTTAAACAGAAAAACTGTGCCTGGCTTTTCCAAACTGGCCATTTTCAGAATTTGAAAGGAAAGCAGCTGAAACGTCCACGGTCCTTATCTCTCTCTCTTTTTTTTTTTTAAAATATATTTTTTATTGATTTTTTACAGAGAGGAAGGGAGAGAGATAGAGAGCTAGAAACGTCGATGAGAGAGAGATATATCGACCAGCTGCCTCCTGCACATCCCCTACTGGGGATGTGCCCGCAACCAACATACATGCCCTTGACCGGAATCGAACCTGGGACCTTTCAGTCCGAAGACCGACGCTCTACCGCTGAGCCAAACCGGTTTTGGCCACGGTCCTTATCTCAAAAGAAAATTCTCAGCTGAGGCCAACTGAGTCCTGAGGAGTTGCACTGCCTCGAGTCAGCTGGCCAGACTAGCTGGAGGCTCCGCTTTTTGGGGTCTCTATGTAACTCTGCCCCAGAACTACAGTCCAATTCTGGCTTCTCTTTGGGTCCTTGTTCCTTCACCTGAGGTCACCCTTTGCTTTGTAATTCTAATCCTAAAACATCTCAGAGCTGACACAGTTCCATTCTAAGCAGAACTCAGGAATCCCTGAGGACTAACATCTCAAATTCAGGGTTTTCTCGGGGAAGCTGTCTGGAAATCGCTAGGGCCTCCTGTTAATGGTGGAAGGGTCTTGGAAGGTCTTGACTCCACACCTTAGAGTACATCTTTCATTTTACAGACGATAAAACAGAGGCCCCGAGATTAAAGGCCATCTCTATCCCTGATCAGTTTGGCTCAGTGGATAGAGCATGACTGCAGACTGAAGGGTCCCAGGTTCAGTCAGGACCTGTACTTTGGTTGGTGGGTACATCCCCTATAGGGGGTGTGCAGGAGGCAGCTGATAGATGTTTCTCTCTCATCGATGTTTCTAGCTATCTATCCCTCTCCTTTATCTGTAAAAAAATAAAAAAATAAAAAAATAATTAATTTTAGGCAGCTGTCCCCAAATTCATATCTAGCTCTGCCTAGCCTCTAGCTCTAGGTGCCTACATCCAGCCGGGGTATGGCCCAGTCGGTTGAAAATGGACTCTTCCTACCTGCTCCCAGCCGCCCCTCCCCCAGCTATCCAGCCACACACACAAAACCCAAATCTTCAACTCTCCCCCTTCCCTCACAGCAATCCTATTTACTCCAGTCGCCAATAGGTCTCAAACCTGTCCCCCTCCTCATCCCCGACTGCCCCTGACCCAGCGTCTCTGCTGTCTCGCGGCCTCCCCTTTCTCACTCAGCAACCAGATTCCAGCTAGATCCATTCCTGCGATCTGGTCACGTCCCGCAGCCCCGGGTTAAACCCAGGCTCCCAGGAGGCCGCGGGAGGAGTGGAGACCCAGGGGGAGTCCCGAGTGGTCCAAGGGTGAGAGGGAGAGGAGCGGGGGGGGGGGGGCGCCCGGGCCTGGAAGACCCCTTGAACGCAGGCCGAGAACCCCCTCACAGGCAGGACCCCCACTTCTGCGGCAGGAAGCAGTGAAAAGGCCCACTCGTCGGAGTCCGTCCCAAATCTCAATCCCGCTCATGCCACGCAGCCCAGCCGGCTCACTTGTACCACCTCGGTAACTTTCTCTTTTTTTAATTTTATTGATGTTCCACAGAGAGGAAAGAACAGGGCTAGAGAGCTAGAAACGTCGATGAGAGAGAAACATGGACCAGCCGCCTCCTGCACACCCCCTACCGGGGATGTGCCCCTTGACCAGAATCAAACCTGGGACCTTCAGTCCGCAGGCCGACGCTCTATCCACTGAGCCAACCGGTTTCGGCCTCTGTAACTTTCTAAATAAACTTTTCCTGAGCATTTGAAAAAACAACAAAACAAAACAAATCCCGGCTCACGCAGCCAATCTCCGCTTAGGGTTACTCCTCTGTGGAGCGGAGACCACAGCACATCACCTACGAGCGTTCGGGCGAGCGTTCCATGAGCTCTAAGGCACTAACCGCAGCGCACAGAGGCGTTTGCTGCGTCAAAGGAAGCTCTAACGAACCCACACACCGCGCGACCGGCCGACCGGACTCGGCGTAAGGGGAAGGTGCGGGCCCCTGGGGTGCAAGCGCTACTTGTGCCCCAAGGATTTCCGTGCCCGCAGGAGATGGCCTGGGTCAGGAGGTCCCGCCAGCCGCGAGCTAAGCCCTGAGGCTGACTGCTGGTCCCCGCCCTCGGAGCCACACCCCCCGGGACCGTGCCCGCGGCCCGCGGCCCGCCTACCCGCAGCCGCCGGCCCTCCGTCACAACGTGGATCGGAGTCGACCTCCGGAAGAGCCGCAGGACCACCCCGCGCGGAGGGGGCGGGGCACGCCGGCGCCGCGCCCTGCCATTGGCCCGCGCCAGCGGGAGGCGGGACCCTGTACGACGTCGCAGCCGGGCTGTGTTGTCTGTCATTCGGCGACGGCTAGAGGACACGGTTAAGAAGATGGCGGTGGTGTCTGCGCTGGTGCGGAGACCCCTGGAGCAGGTAGGCGGCGGCAGCGGCGGGCCTGATCCCCTCGCGCGGGTTTTGTCAGCCCCTCTGAGCGTCCTTTTTTCTCTCCCGCCAGGTCTCGGGGCTGCTGAGGAGGCGCTTTCACCGGTCGGCGCCGGCGGCGCTGCAGGTAACGCCGGGACACCAGGGGGGAGGCCAGGGTCGCGCCTGCGCGGTGGCGGTGGCGGTGGGCGCCGGGGGCAGAGGCGGCGGCGGCGGCGGCGGAGCCCGTCCCGCCGGGGACTCGCGCTGCGTCTGCCGCGGCCCAGCGCCCAGGCCCGGCGCCAGCCCGGCGAGCTGCCCTCGATGGGCAGTGCATCCGAGGGCACAGACTTGACGCCTTTCCGCTGACCGCCCCTCCGCCTTTATCTGTATGGTGGTAAAATAGACGGAACAAAACTAAGCGCTGAAAAGGGAGTATTCAGCGGCTGGAAGACCATTCGCCGTGTTCGGCAGCCGTCGCCACCGTTTGCTAAACACGAACGCCCCTTCTCCCCTCCGCTCCCCCCCCCCCCCAACCTCTGCTGCACCCTCCGTCTTTGGGCCAAGTTCGCCCTGGACGTGGAGTCGGGCAGTAGCTGTCCTGTTGTACCTGGCTTGTTTCACTTCGCATCACGTTGTAGCATGTGTCACAGTTGCATTCTTTTTGAAGGCGGAATGCTCTTCCGTTTGTACGAATACACATTTTGTTTAATCATCTGTTGATGGACATTTGGGTTGATTCCACCTTTGGGGTTTATAAATAATGCTGCTATGAACATTGTGCAAGAAGCCCCGTCTCTGCTTAACGGGAATTGTTGGATCCTAGGGTAACTCTGTGCTCGACTTTTTGAGGACACCTCCTCCTCCCCCCCGTCCTTTTTTTGTTTTTTTAAGCTGGAAGATTTTACCAAGCAACCTATACAGTAAAATAACTCCTAGATCCTGAAGGCAAAGTGTTAGGCAGGGCCTGGCACCTACTAAGTGCTCAATATGTAGAATTATCTGGGCTTCCTTAACGGTTCTCTAGAGTGTGGAGTAAAACAACCCAGGATACATGCTGCTTTACGAAGCTTCGCCTGTGAACTGGCCCGGCCAGCAGGCAGATCCCTTCAGGTCTGTTGCAGGTCAAGCAGAGTCTTCAGTAAACTCATTCACACATCCAGTCAGACTAGTTACATGTGATGAAAAGATTGCTTTTAGAATTGACCTTTTAAAGAGAAGTCTGTTCTAGAAGTCATATTATATACTGTAGGCAGCGTAGGTATAATAAAGGGGGAGAACCTCAATAGTACCCTAAAAAGTCCTGTTGCTTATCGACTTTCCCCATACCCGTGGCAGATGACAGTTCGTGATGCTATAAATCAAGGTATGGATGAGGAGCTGGAAAGAGATGAGAAGGTCTTTCTGCTTGGGGAAGAAGTTGCCCAGTACGATGGGGCTTACAAGGTAACCAAAGTGAACTTTATACAGAAGGGAGGTGATTACGGGTTCGCACGAACACTTTATAAAGTGATGGGGTCAATGCTTAATTTTAGGTTAGTCGAGGCCTATGGAAGAAATATGGTGATAAGAGGATTATAGACACACCCATATCTGAGGTAAGCCTGCCACCAGGAAGCTGACTTTAAAGTGTACACTGTTATCATTTTTATGGGTTTTCACGTGTTTGTGTTTTATTTTGTAGATGGGCTTTGCTGGAATTGCCGTAGGTGCTGCTATGGTAGGAATCTTTACGAATCTCAAAGGGTTTTTTTTTGACATGACCTTTTGAAAACATTATTTGAATGTGGGGGAGCAGAGTGGTTGTTTGCCCCTCTTCATTGCTGTTTTAAGACTTTTTAACATCTGTTTTTTATCTGACAGGCTGGGTTGCGGCCCATTTGTGAATTTATGACCTTCAATTTCTCTATGCAAGCCATTGACCAGGTGATAAACTCAGCTGCCAAGACCTACTACATGTCTGGGGGCCTTCAGAACGTGCCCATTGTCTTCAGGGGGCCCAATGGGGCCTCAGCAGGCGTGGCTGCCCAACACTCACAGTGCTTTGCTGCCTGGTATGGACACTGCCCGGGCTTGAAGGTGGTCAGCCCCTGGAATGCAGAGGATGCTAAAGGACTTATTAAATCAGCCATTCGGGATAACAATCCAGGTCAGCAGAGCAACCCTTGGGTCTCTTTTGAACACTGAAGAACTAAAATGAAATCTTTGCATAGGAGGCATCAATAAAAGCTTCTTGTTAGGCTTAGACATATATAAAATGTTAATGATTTACAGTTAGTGAAGAAAGTAAAAAATATTTTTCTTATTTCTTATTACCTGGGGGCCAGTTAGGTAAAGGAGACATTTACTCTGTACCTATAACATGATTTAACCTCACAGAATTAGGATTGAGCAGATTACTAAAGTCAATACCTAAACCATCCTCAGGGAAACGGAACACGGTAGACACAGGCTTCTTAATCAGCACAGTGAAGCTTCACAACATGAATGGTAGTGCTGCTCTCGCATCTCCTGAGCTCTGTGGGTCCCATAAGACTTGCACCCAGAGGTCCCTGGCTAACCACCTGAACCTGTCTCCAAGGCCCTCTTTTCTCTGACTTTCCCATGAGCCAAAGCACCTCTTGCTTCTGTCCTCAGCCCTTGTTTCACTGTCCCCAGCCTCAACAAACACACTCTCAAAAAAGAGCATTGTGTGTATCTATTTAGTTACATAGTTGCTTTTGTTTAAATATTTGTATTTTGCAGTGGTGATGCTAGAAAATGAATTGATGTATGGAGTTGCTTTTGAATTTCCCCAAGAAGCTCAGTCAAAAGATTTTCTGATTCCTATTGGAAAAGCCAAAATAGAAAGGCAAGGTAAGAAAACTTAGTATACATCTAAACATTTAGCCCCCCTGTTTATGTTATTCAAATTCATTTTAGATTGTATTGCCCTTTACTTTAACTAAGGAAGTATAAGATAAGTTCAAGATAAGAATGAGTCCCACCCCAATTGCTCCTACACTAGTGTTTTTCTAAATCTTAATCCAGTAGATTTGTGTTTCATTTCTAGGAAGGTTGCCACATGCCTCATATTACTAGAATGAAGTTGAGTTGACGATTTTATAAATGAACTTAGTTTCAACCTGACTTCTCATCTGTGACCACTTTGTTTCAGGGACACATATAACTGTAGTTGCCCACTCAAGGCCTGTGGGACACTGTGTGGAAGCTGCAGCAGTGCTAGCTAAAGAGGGAATCGAATGTGAGGTGAGTGGACATTCACTTGTTCTTAAAAGAATCTGAAAGATTCCCTTTAAATTTAAGACCCCAGAAATAGGAGTTTGAGTTCTTTAACAGGTTAACTAGATATGTACAATTTTACTTAAAGCTGGGTACCTGCTTTTCAAAATACATCATGTTTTTTTGTTTGTTTTTTTAAATATATTTTGATTTTTTACAGAGAGGAGGAGAGAGGGACAGAGAGCTAGAAACGTCGATGAGAGAGAAACATCAATCAGCTGCCTCTTGCACATCCCCTACCGAGGATGTGCCCGCAACCAATGTACATGCCTTTGACCGGAATCGAACCTAGGACTTTCAGTCCGCAGACCGACGCTCTACCATTAAGCCAAACCGGTTTTGGCAAATACATCATTTTTTTACCACCTAGGTTCTGGATCTTTTAGAATAGTCCTGCTTTTTGAAGTTAAGATCCATCCTTGGAACTGGAGGTTGGAAAGAGGGGACACATAGAAGTCAGTGAGTCTTATCCTTTTATAACCAGCAGGTAGCACTTGTTATACTTGTACCCTAAATCTCAAGATTTGGAGCGACAGACAGGAGCTTAGGAAGAGCAGCTGAGAGCCCTGGCTGGCGTGGCTCCGTTGGTTGGGTGTTTCCCCTGCACCTAAAGGTCAGGGCATCCCCGGCCAGTGCTGCTCATTGGTAGAGCATCAACTGAGTACCAAAGGGTCATGGGTTCAGTTCTTGGTCCTTTACCTGGGCTGCAGGGTCATTCCTTGGCCCAGACAGGTTGTATGTAGGAGGCAGGCAGTCAATGTGTCTCTCACATCAATGTTTCCCTCCTTCCCTCCTTCCTTCTCCTCTCTTTCCCTCCTTCTTTTTGTAAAAAAAATACTTTATCAAAAGATAAAAAACAGCTGAGGGAGAACTGACTTCAGAGAGCAGAGAGGGGATGGTGTGTTTTCTGTCATCAGGGTGGTTGTGAGAATTACACTGAGTGTAAGGGACAGGGAGAGAAACATCCATTGGCTGCCTCCTGCACACTCCCTCCTGGGGATCAGGCCTGCAACCTGGCCTGACCAGGAATCTAACTGTGACCTTGACCTCATGGTTCCAACAGGCCAACTGAGCCACACATGCGGGGCAGTTATTTTTATTTTTTATTTTTATTTTTTTAATATATTTTTATTGATTTTTCACAGAGGAAGAGAGAGGGATAGAGAGCTAGAAACGTCAATGAGAGAGAATCATCGACCAGCTGCCTCTTGCACACCCCCTACTGGGGATGTGCCCGCAACCAAGGTACATGCCCTTGACCGGAATCGAACCCGGGACCTTTCAATCCGCAGACCGACGCTCTACCACTGAGCCAAACCGGTGCCGGCGGCAGTTATTATTTTTATGAGAAGGAAGTTAAAGCCAAATCCGAGGGAGGATAAGTGAATTCTGTAAGTTAACAACAGCTGCTGTAGTAGAGATAAAGATTTTTGTTTTAATTTTCCCTCTTACATCTTGTTTATCAATAGGCAGATTAGATTTTCCTACACCCAAAGATGAATAGGAAACCTAAAGTGGTATTATGGGGATAAGACTATATTTATGACGCAGTGGCTCTCTAAAGCAAATCTCTTACTTTCTCTGTTTAGGTGATAAACATGCGAACCATCAGACCAATGGACATTGAAACAATAGAAGCCAGTGTCATGAAGACCAATCACCTTGTAACTGTGGAAGGAGGTTGGCCACAGTTTGGAGTAGGAGCTGAAATTTGTGCCAGGATCATGGAAGGTATTTGAGAGAAACTAGTTTTAATAGTCAAAACTAGTGTTTAATAGTTTAAACACTGTCTACCTGGATACTACATAAAGAAATTAAAAGCTAGGAGAGGCCAAATGACTTGAACCTCCAACTTATCATCGTGGCATTTTTCTTTGGGTAAATGTTTTAAAAAGCAAAGCCAGAAACAATCCCCAGAATTAGCATTCCTTTATCATGATGGCAGAGGCCACACCTTTTGTGCCAAGGGATTGGTGTTTGGCTGGCTTCTCTTGGCTCCCTCAGTTATTCCTCTTCCTCTCCTAGGCCCTGCGTTCAATTTCCTGGATGCTCCTGCAGTTCGTGTCACCGGTACTGATGTCCCTATGCCTTATGCAAAGATTCTAGAAGACAACTGTGTACCTCAGGTTAAAGACATCATATTTGCAATAAAGAAAACATTGAACATCTAGTTTGGACTTTAGTATCAAGTCATTGGCATTTATTTAAAATACTTGCTGACACTACCTGGATTGAAGGGTAAGATCTTACAAGTCATTAATGTTTTTGTACTGGTAAGAATGTGCTTGTAAGTGGAAAACTCCATTCTTACTGCCGTAGACTCCATACCCGTTTTTTGTCTGTTACAATTGCTGTTTCTTCGAATAAGACTAATGTAAAATTTTGCCCTCTCACTGGAAGGACAAAGTATGAATGACAGAGTCCTGATGGAAGATATATATACACACACACACACACATATATATATATATTTATATATATATATATATATATATATATAAAGACAATTTGTATGTTAAGAAAAAAAGCATATGATCTACATTACTGTTAAGATTGTTTTGATAAGGAATAAAGGAATTCCTAACTATGACTAATTGTATTTTTATACTCTTAAATGTGGGGTGAAAGTTTTAAAATTCTATTAGGATAGAGCGTCGGCTTGTGGACTGGAAGGTCCCGGGTTCGATTCCGGTCAAGGGCATGTACCTTGGTTGCGGGCACATCCCCAGTAGGGGGTGTGCAAGAGGCAGCTGGTCGATGACTCTCATCGATGTTTCTCTCTATCCCTCTCTCTTCCTCTCTGTGAAAAATCAATAAAATATATTTTAAAAAAAGAAAAAAAAATAAGTATCATCTAAAATCATTAATCTCCTAGCCCACATCACTTGTTCATACTTATTCTAATAGGGTTCCCTTAAAAAAAATTTGGGGGGGGGGTTAATCCTGACCTGAGGATATTTCTTTTGATTTTGGACAGTCATAACAGAAGTGGGATTGGGAGAGACAGAGAGAAACATTGATGTGAGAGCCACATCAATTGATTGCCTCCCACACCTGCCCTAAACAGGGTGGGGAACCTGCCACCTAGGTACACACCTTTGACTGGAAATCAAAACCACGGCAAAAAAGGATCTGCTATTCACTGCCTTCTTCAAAAGTTTTAATGGAAAAGACAGGTTTAAATTAGTTATAAAAGCATACAAATGGTGCCTAACTTAAACAGCAAGTCAGGATTGCTAGCTCTTGCTACAGGAAAATATGCCCTAGCTGGTTTGGCCTGTGGACTAAAAGGTCCCAGGTTTGATTCTAGTCAGGACACATGCCTGGGTTGTGGGCTTGATCCCTAGTTGTAGGTGTGCAGGAGGCAGCCAATCAATGATGTTTTTATCTCTCCCTCTCCCTCCCTCTAATACTAATAAAAAATAAATTTTAAAAAAGGAAAATATAACACAAAAGAAATAGAGATAGGATAGGTGGGAGGAAAACTTTAGAAATAACTGTGGATCTGATACTTGTTTATAAATGGTCCCACAAAAAGTTCCCATTTAAAATATTTAGCCAAGCCCTAGCCAGTTTGGCTCAGCGGATAGAGGTTGGCCTTCAGACTGAAGGCAGCCAATGATTTTCTCATTGACGTTTCTCTCTCTCTCCCTCTCTGAAATCAGTAAAAAAAAATAAAATAAAAATAAAAATAGCCGAAACCAGTTTGGCTCAATGGATAGAGCGTCGGCTTGGGGACTGAAAGGTCCCAGGTTCAATTCCGGACAAGGGCATGTACCTTAGTTTCGGGCATATCCCCAGTAGGGAGTGTGCAAGAGGCAGCTGATCGATGACTCTCATCGATGTTTCTAACTCTCTCCCTTCCTCTCTGTACAAAATCAATAAAATATATTTAATAAAAAAAAATAATAATAAAATATTTAGCCAAGCTACACCCATTTTCTTGACATGGTTTATTTTAATAAAAAATACAGCTGAACATATTTACCACAGATTACATGAAACTATAGACAATGACATTCTCTCTGCATAGTAACCAACACTGATGTGTGTACTTGAAGTTTTAAATGGATTACTTATAATCCTTTAAAGTGCCGTTTATTTAAGGATTAAGCAAATTATAGGATAAAGGGTCTAATAAATGAGTAACATTTAAAGATGATGTATTTGAATAAACGTTTCCAAAGTCAGAATTCTATAAATGCCAAATTTGATTATGTTGTAACAATAATTCCCCACAAAACACAAACTTAATTGCTCAGGAGTAAGATCCTCTAACCATTTTCTGATGGTACTAGTTTTGTCTGTTCAGTACGTCCTAACTATAAGGAACTGAGTCTAGAGTAGTAGCTTTAGCAGCCCCAAGTTCTATATCCACAATGGTATTCCCATTAGAGAATAATACACATCTTCCCCATCCTATTTGAGGGGAAAATGAAGCTATCAGTTGCTTCTCTGACTTAGTTGCTTTGGGCTACTGTGTTAATGTCTACGATAAAATTAAGGTAGCAGGTACGGAGTTCTGATCTAAGAAATAACCAGAAAATGCTTCAGAGAAATAAATGTAGGAACATTTCTAGGAGCTGTCTGACAACATAGGAAGGATTGCAACAAAAAGGCCATTCACTGCTGCGGCTGAATATTGTCATTGTTTTTGTCCGTTTCAGTTGGTAGAAATATTGATTCTGATTGCTGCTGCTCCCAAAAGATGCCCATTAGAGGATGAACAACTCCTTTAGTAAGAAAGGAGCAAGATCTCTTAAGGCAGCAATGCCAGCCTGATTTTATCATCTATTTGAATATTTCCTCTTGAAAAGCCCCTTACATGAGCATCTGCAAAACAGAATGTGGCTGTACTGGCTCAGCAGTTCTTCATCCAGGAAGAGGGTATTTTAGTGGTTGGAGGTGTGTAGAAAAAAAACAAAACTTTCCCCTCCAAGTGTAAACACGAAACTTTAGCCGATCTTAGGAGCACTATGATCACAGGTTTCGGCTTTCCTCAGAGTTCCTTTTTGGAAATTCTGGATGGAGCTCAGTAAGGCCCCTCGGCTCATGCCATTCACAGCCTGGGGCTGCGGCTGTGTGGCTACCTCTGTGCTCGAAGGAGGCAAAGGAGCTGCTGGTGGTGGAGGCGGAGGTGGAGGAGGTGGAGGTAATGTGGAAATCCCTGTAAAAAAAAAAAAAAGGGGGACAGTCAGCATTACCTCCAAACCCCTGCATGCATGCTACCACTCAGTCCTGGGCAGAACAGACTTGAGAATGCAAGTGTTCCCTCAGAGGGGCAAGATGTCTAGTACTGCATGATTTTTAAAATACTGAACAAGAAAGCTAGAAGCATCAAAGGAGAATTTAAAAAAAAAAGGGGAGGGGGGATTTCAATTAAAGGTCACCATTTCTCCCAAATAACAGTCATGCGAGAAAAGACTGAATATCACAGATCACATGAAACTATATATACTGACATTCTCTCAGGATTGAGGCTCTAACTCCATTTCCAAATTTTAGTAATAATCCCCAAAGAAAAGTTCCATCAGCTACATAAGCCAGGCCTACTGACTTCCTGAGCTAGCAAAGATAGACATCTGGCCCTAACTGGTTTGGCTCAGTGGATAGAGTGTCGGCCTGCGGACTGAAGGGTCCTGTGTTTGATTCCAGACAAGGGCACAGTAGGGGTGTGCAGGAGGAAACGGATTGATAGTTCTCTCTCATCATTAATGTTTCTATCTCTCCCTCTCCCTTCCTCTCTGAAATCAATAAAAATGTAAAATAAAATAAACATATGTTCAGGTGAGGATTTAAAAAAGAAGATAGACTCTGTGTACAGAATTGGGCTACTTGAATATCTGTATAAAAATTCCGCGACCAGAACAACCGGTGGCTATGGCGCACACTGCAGCAGCCAACCAGCCTAATCTGGGCCCTGATCAGGGTCAGGCGGGCTGGCCCATGGCCCTTCTCCTTGGCTAGCCCTGCTCCTGATTGCCCTATCGGGGGAGAGGCCAGCTGGCCCACTGCCCGTGGCCCCTGCCCCCCACCAGCCCAGCCCAATGGGCCCCCATCGGAGTGGACCAGCTGGATCCCCCCCCCCCCGCCCGTGCACAAATTCGTGCACTAGGCCTCTAGTCAATTAATAATGGGTGAACAGTTCTTTAGATGTGCTTCAACACACAATATTTGAAGGATGCGATTTAATATAAAATGACAAACCACTCAGTATTCTTGGCAAGACACCAGTGCCTGCAGGGTTTTGGGTTCCCCAGGGGCATCTATTTCGAATACTTATTTCCTATTAGAATGCATTAACGAAACACAAAAAGCTAATAACTGTTGCAATGCAGAGTAGAGGGCAAAGAGCTCGCTCTTCCCAACAATGTGATTTTCGAGGAGGAGTCTTCTTCAAGCTCCCTTCTTTCCACTGTGGCCCAACCCAGGAACAGACACAACTGCACTAACCCTACATCTTCGCTAAAGCATCAGGAGAGACTGGAATGTCGAGCTCTGCCCTGGTGGGCAAGGAGAAGGAAGCTGCACAGGTGTTTCAAACTTCCCTCAGCGTCCAGGCACACAAACATCTGGCATTGAATGTTACAGTTCTGACTGATGGAATGAACTTCTCTCCCAGACAAAATAAAGACTAAGGAGAGAAAAAGCCCTGCCTCAAGGGACCTGCCTGTGCCACAGAGTCTACTGCCCCATTTCCTAGGAACCGTCCAGCTCTCAGTGACTCCACCCACCTGTTTTGAGCCTTACCCCCTACCCCGTCCAAGGGCTACACAATCCTGTCAGGTGGTTCTCTCCTAAGCTGCTACCAAGCTGTGGTGTTAACAGGGAAACTATCAATCACCCCGTGCACTTGCATGGAGGATTGCCAATAGAACACTTAGGTAAAGGACATGACAGGCAATGGTTAAAATCTTGTATTTCACAGAAAACCACTTACCTTTCTTTGTATCTTTACCCAAACCTAAGGCAGCTGAAAATGAAGAATCACACAGATACACACACTCATGCTCTGCAGTCTTGGAATTCTCAAATGATGATACAGCAATACAAATAAACAAACAGACAAATGAACAAAATGTGGTTTCTATTGGTTCTATACAATAACAACTAATGAATGAAATTTGATTATGTCAGGTGGAGTGTGGAGACATGTCCCTGGCTTTGAGTTACAGGGTTACCAAGGTAAAAGGACCTTAAACCTAAAACGAGTGCTGGGGATGTGACCAGAGAAAAGCCAGGAGGAAGGGGAATCGCGTCTCTGGGAGCCTTGGACCAGAACGGCAGCACAGAGCCTGGAGGACTGAGCAGCACCAATGCCCCACCCACGCCCACCCCGCTTCCATGCAATGACCAGGAAAGGCAGCAGAATCTGGACTTGACATCCAGGGCCCAACATGTACGGGTGAGCACTGGCGCGTCTGCCTTCCGGCTTTGTGCTTTGGCCTGGCCGAAGAGTCCCCGTGGGTCACAGCTGAGACAGGCTCTGCACCGCAACAGCACTCGTGTCTGCACGACATGGAACTGGCCATCCAGAGAGGATGCCCCTCCGGATCCTGGGAGGCTAGAAATAGGCTGCAGGGGCTGGACCTGGGCATGGGCTGCAGCCTAAACAAAACTGCTTGGTCTTCACAAGGAACCAACCCTTGCCTTTGGCCTCATTACCAAGAGCTCAAAATTCAAAATGCAAATTCACTACCACAGGCCTTGGGAGTTGGGGGTGGCGTTCGTAAATGAATCTGCATTTCCAAGTAAAGGTTGAGATTGCTACCACTTTCAGTGAATTTCCTGGAATGTATAGGTGGTATAAACAAATTCACTGTCCAAAGTGCCACAGGGTAGCCTGTGTCTGTAATGCAGATGGGAAGCTGAGGGCTGTAAAGGAGAGGCTGCTCCCCCGGGGCGCAGAGCAAGGTCCCCAGGTCACCCCGATGTCTGCCCACAGAGGGCCGGACCAATCGCCAAGGGCCTGACGCCCCATGACGTCCTCACTGGGCCTGCGACACCTGACACAGACACTGATGTGTATGATCAGGACAAGGGAACCCACTCGCCAGCTCAGAGCACTCGGGGAGGGGAGAGGAGGACCAGGCCTTAGAAGGTGAAGTGGAGGAGGCAAGGACACAGAGTTTGGGTTCACAGTCTGACTTTAGGCCCATCAACTCTTTGGTTGCCTTTTCTATAGTCCAGAAGCTTCCTTTAAAGGTTCACTGGGGCTTCAGCTACACCACCTTGGAAACCAAGGGGGGGGAGGGGAAATGGTAACAAGGGCCAAATTCAGAGTTGGCCCTTTGGCCGGTGACAAACCTGAGAACAACACCTAATTCCTGAACGCCTCCATTCCTCACATGTGAATGAGCTCCTCCCCAGCAAAAGGCTTCCACAGCCCTTATCCCCAGGCCACAGACAAAACCGGACAGCGTTCGTATTAGACTGCTAACTGAACTCACACAGCTTTGAGAAACAGTATTCTCCAACAACCCAGGATAAGGGTTGTTTCAGACAACTTGTCTACAATTATAATCCAGTCAGTCCTAATCTCGAAGTCACTTTGTCTTAGACAAAAACCTTAAGAGTCAACTACTCTACCCTCCGCAGAATCCTCTCCACCAACCAAATGGGTGCCTGGCAATCCAATGAGGCCTGGAACAGGCCACGGACTGCTGCAACAAGAGCATAGGTTAGTAGAAACATCCTCGCCAGCCTGGTGGGTGCCCTTTCCTTGGGCCAATTTAGCAATCTACAGGTGTCTGTACATCCGTGTTGTTTTGTGGTCCACACACAGAGATGGGGAGGCCACATGGCCACCAGACCTGCCTGCTCCCCTCGAGGGGATGGAGAGCAATAACCCCAGGAAGCAGGCAGCCCCAGCTCTTGTCTCAGACGGAGGAGGAGGCTGCACTCATGTCCCAACTCAAGAATTATTCAGGATGTGTGAAAAAGAACTGTTTTTCCCTGTCATCAGTCATAAAGCCAATAAGCTGTCTTCCATAACCAAGAACTCAACTGCCAGCACCCTTTCCCCTTCATCAGAGTAACAAGGAACCAACATTTTTACAGGGACAGGACTCTGAGAGCCTAGTTTCCAAAATTAAAATATACCAAAATGCCATACAGCTAATTTGTAAGTTTCAGAGCTGTATTTTAAAACTAAAATCAGAGTGAAAATGAAGATTTTGAAAGTCATGATGGAAATGAAATGAAGGTAAATGAGGTCATGTGGGTGCATTTTAAAGATGCTGTATTTTATTTAACGTTCAGTTAAGGAAATGGTCTCAAGTCTCCTTCCCCCATTTGTTCATCACTTCAGAGACCAGATGTACTGGGTCCCATTTCACATTCAGAAACAGCATCTTTAAAGTGAGAGGAATGAGTATAGTTTACTTTACCGAAACTCACGTTCAAAAGGGCGCATGCTCTACTGAAAACAGCAAAGAGAGAGAGAGAAAAAGAGAGAGAGAGAGGGCGAGGGCGAGGGAGAGAAGAGAAAGAGAGAGAGAGAGAGAGAGGGAGAGGGAGAGGGAGAGGGAGAGAGAGAGGACAAATCATTATTCAGATTTTAGTTCATTTAATCAAATAGTAAGAGATAGCAAAATATTAGGCTGAATCACATGCTGGTTATTCTCACTGCCAAACTAGGTGACATGTAAGTTAAGCATGAATTGCACTGGTTTGTACACAGTTGTGACCCTTTTAGAACATGGCAAATACACGAATATGGTAACCAATGAGTGGCTTTCTTCCTCGTGGTCTTTTTCTTTTTTGGAGTCAGTTAGTTGCTATTTTTACTTATTGACAAGCACAATGCTCACTTCAGAAGACCCATGAAGGTTTTTCCTTCCCTGAAAAGCGGAATGAATACTAGGAGTATCTTTCTTTTTCTTACTAAATAAGAGGGGAGAAAAACTAAAACTCAACACTTTTTCCAAGCAAATGTTCTATAATTTAAAATGGAAACATGGCCGAAACCGGTTTGGCTCAGTGGATAGAGCGTCAGTCTGCGGACTGAAGTCCAGGGTTGAATTCCAGTCAAGGGCATGTGCCTTGGTTGCGGGCACATCCCCAGTAGGGGGCGTGCAAGAGGCAGCTGATCGATAATTCTCTCTCATCGATGTTTCTAGCTCTCTGTCCCTCTCTCTTCCTCTCTGTAAAAAAAAATCAATAAAA